AGGATCAAATGATTTTATCCACACCATGTCACAAAGCGGGTCTATAATTCCCTGTACTCAGCTTCTTGTCCATCTCCAATAAAACCAATGGCTGCAGAGTTAACTGAGTATTTCTGCAGTCTTATGCTGGAAGTCGGAGGCACGCAGAGTAAAAAGGAATGGTGAGATTACTGTCCCCTGTGGTGCTCCTGTGCTACCTACTATCTGTTTAGCGACTTGACCCTTCTGTTTGTCAGGTAAACTTTAATTTCTCACAAAGAAAGTCAGGCTGGATTTTGTAAAATGCACTGGATAAATCAAAGAACATGATTCTCACAGTGCTGTCTTCCTTGCCTAAGCGACAGTGGGTTTGTTGAAAGTGGAGGGAGCAGCACCTTCTTCTGATTTGTTTGAGAAAAAATGCATAGAAACAGGAGGCTTCATGGCAGAGATGGTAGATGAATAATTAAAGGTGTGAGAGCAAGGCCTTTGGTCAAAGGAGAGCGTATCTGAGCTTACTACTGAACTAAACTAAATGAAGAAAAGGTTCAGTTAATGAGCCTTGTCTAGACGTTTGTCTCTCTGATCATCCTTCTGCTGGAAGCCTTTGATCTTCTCCATCCCTTGGGGAGTGTTGGCCTAGTGGTTAGAGCAGTGCACTTGTGCTCTAAGAAGATTGCAAGTACCTGGTCGCTCCCTATAGCCTGCACTCTGGGTTCCTGAGTGAAACCCTTAACCCTAAACTGCTCCCCGGGCACCGCACAATGGTAGCCAACTACTCTGCAAGTGGATGGGTTAAATGCAGAGAGTAAATTTCCTCATTGTGGGACAATAAAGGGATTTACATCTCTGGTATTGTTCTGCTGGGGCTTGCCTTCCATCTTCTTCCTGTATAACACTTTGCTTTTTTCTCATCCTAACCTTAAGTTGCCTTTATACACTTCTAAATAATTTCCTCTCTTCCGTAATAAAGGCTCTTTTTTATTGTTTGGATCACAGGTAGTCCAGGGTATACTATTAGGGAAACAGCTCACTGTTCTGGTGGTGTTATCTAAGCATAAGTATAAATAGCCAGTCAAACCTTCAGTCATTGCATTGATGTCCTCTCCATGTGTCTGACACAGTGTACCCTCAAAACAACATTCAAGTCCCAAAATTCTCTCGATCGCACCAGAAAAATGTAGAGAGCTTCAACTTGAATGGGAGAATCCGTGAGCAGTACAGCAGTAAGTTCAGCACTGAACCATTGTGAAGGACATCCAAGAGTAGGCCATTGTTTAAAGGAAGCCATAAGACCAAAACTAGTATTTATGACATAAACCATGTGCAAAAAGGGGTTGTGTTCAGATCAGGTCAATGTTGAGCCCTTTATCATTCAGGCAAAGTCTTATGTGTGATGGAAAACTGTACAAGTGAAACTGTTCATCTTCCTCAACTTTTCCTAAAGGTGAAACACAATCATGGCATCATCATGCTGATGAGACAAGGAATGGATTAAGATCCAGGAGAATCCAAGGAGATCTTAGGGTAGAGGTTCACCTTCCATCATAGCAACAACCTTGAAGATAATGCAGAGATGAAATGTCTATATTAACTATATTAGACCTAAATCTAATGGAAAATATTTTGCCAAATTTGAAAAATGCCTTCCTGAGGTGTTTTCCATAAAGTCTCTGAGTGGGCAGAAATGTCCCTATTTAGATGGCAAATTTGTTCTATACTGTGTGTGCTACTATACCACATTGACATCCAGACAAAAAGTTTTAGTTTGTGTTTGTAACATGAAAAAATACATGCTGATGGGTATGAGTACTAATACAAGACACACTACATTAGGAGCTCAGTGTTTTTGTTAAAAAGAGGAGTTTTCTTGGATCCAAAGGATGTATCTTCATCTTCATTTACTTCCTAAAGCAATATGTGTGGAAAAGAAAATGAAATATGATTGAGAAGGAAACACAAAATACAGCTATCAGATAAGAGCGGAAATCTTTGGTTTTATCTCCTATTAGTGTTTAGCTGCAAGACCTTACCATGATTTTCCGTCATTAAATCAACAATGATTAAACACTGACAGCAGATATAAAACCTAGTTACGAAGTCCAAGATCCTCAGTAGTACCTTTGTGAAAACCCTAACCCAAGCTGCTATTGCCGGTATGCATCTTCTGTGTAGTTTGGCAATAGTAAGGTGCTGCTGAAAACCAATGGCATAATGAATAATATGTGAGTTACACAATGTTACGGTCAGCATTCATCACTCTCAATTTCTCTGTCGATTTTTCCTCTTGCGTCCACACTCTCCCCCCTGACTCCCAGCCTATTTCCTTGTGTCTCAGGCGTACTGTTTATGCTGTGGTATTTAGTTTAGGAACAGAAGCCAGTGTTGGTTGCAGTGGTTGATTTCAGCACATACACAACGCGCTTGAAACACTGAGGAGGGCGGAAACAGTACGTGGAGGTCAAAGCTTTGTCTCAAAGTGAAAAAAACAAACAAAAACAAATTGAAACAAATTTCCTTGAGTAGTAAACACATTTTACGCCCACTTAAGGCCATCTTTTTAAAGAACTGAGAAGTCTTTGAGCTCTAATCAGAAATGGGTCCCCCTTGTTAACCACATTCAAACATAAGCAGCCTACAACACTTAGGTTGAAGTTACAGTCCATTGCCAAATAATCAATATTTAGGTAAAGAAACTAACCAAAATGCATTAAATACTCACAGTCCCATTTAAAGCATCACTACTCTTGCAATGGGAGGAAAATAGGTGCAACTAATTCAGTAGACAGTAGGCTTTAGGTTCATGATACATTTCAGAATCACTTGAATATAATGGTTCTTCTTGGCATGTTTGACATAAATGGATAAAGGCAGTTAAAGCAGATGGAATGTGAAGCAGGATACGCCACAGAATGGACTGCGTCAATGAGGTTCTAGAGAATACAACACATGAAATTTAATCTGAATGGTTTCAGCTCTGGCTTGTAGACAAGATACTGTAATGATGGAAACACAAGCTTGTTAAACAGTTTATTTGGATTCTCCTAAAACATTTAGAGGGTAAAATATCAAGCTAGCCTGTAGCCATCACCCACTCACCATGATTAAACTTCCTTCAGCACATTTTTTATCTACAGACAATTTGTCAACTCAG